GAACTGCGGGGAACTCTGCAAAAAACGCACCTTCGCACGGCAGCCCGTGCGTTGGCCAATTTTTTAATCATAGCAAGCTTGCATCATGGTAATGAGCTGCTTCTGTATGTTGATATCGACAAACACCGGTCGCTGATTCTTTAGGATTGCCGATTTTTATGAGTTTTTGCTGTGTAACAGCAGTACAAAACGCATGTTGTCACGGGGTTGTCTCTGTGTGTGTCCCACATTTTATCCCGCACTTTCAACTCGGGAATCACAAAAGCTGGGCGGCTGAAATATTGGTATAGTGTTCCCCGTCGGGTGACGCTGCAAATTTAAGTTCAGCCTTCCCGTACCCGCGGGTAACTCGTACGGCCTTGTGAAAGTTTTTTTTTATGGGTAAATTAATATCTCGGGAACCACGGGATCTAGGGAGCTGAAATTTTAGGGTAATGACCCCCTGCCCACGCTCAACCTTGCCCATTCAAATTGAGTGTTCTCGTGCGCTCGGGTATCATCTACGGGCTAGTGGATGTTTTTGTCGGCAAATTACTGTCTCGGGAACCACGGGGTTTTGAAAGCTGAAATTTTAGGGTAATGACCCCCTGCCCACGCCCAACCTTGTACATTCAAATTCAGTGTTCCCTCGCTCTTGAGTATCACCTACGGCCTCGTGAAAATTTTGGCGGGTAAACTGTTAACTCGGGATAAAGATATTCACCCTTCAAAGTTTTGACTTCAGCTTTCATACGCTGGCACGAAAAGATATTCATCCTTCAAGGTTTCGAATTCAGTTTTCATACGCTGGTGCGTGAAATTTTTGTCTGGTCTTCTTTATACTCCTTCAAGGTTTCGAAATCAGCTTTCATACGCTGGTGCGTGAAATTTTTAACTGTTTTTCAATGTTAGAACTATTTTTGCATAGACTAAAGTACAAAGCAGTGAAAATCATTAATAGGCAATCGTTCGATGGGTATTTTTGCATAGACTAAAGTACAAAGCAGTGAAAATCATTAATAGGCAATCGTTCGATGGGCTGAATTGCACAGAACGCATGATCGCACCGGTTGGTCTGATGCGCGGTGCTATTTATTTTTACTTGCAGTCGCTCACATCGACATAGGTCTGTGTCATCGGTGCATTACCACCACGGGCTTCACGTAGGTCAGTTTCGATAGTCATCTCGACACATAATATGCTATTTGTGCATTAGCATCACCC